TCTGAATCGAAATATTCGAATCAATGTGAGCGATTTTAAAAGTTCGTGGACAGAACACGGACAAAACTTTGAGCAATATATCTTTAAATTTGGCAGAATGCAGAAATGCCCAAGCTAAAAAACTCTGTCACCAAAACGTTTCTAAACAGCTGCTCTACCGATCTAGAGGTCGGCAAACAGTGGGCAAGGTCTAGGGCAACGGCATTTTTAAGTTTTGTATAATTACCTAATGTATTTTATAGTAAAAGTTGAAGGCCATTATGCTGAAAGTTAAATGCAAATTAGTATACATGCAAATTATCATGTCGCAAATTTCTGGTAATGTTTCACCTAACCACTCAAACGTTTCCGCTAGCGTGCAATTAAATATATCTATCCGACAGTCGGGACTCTTGTAAAGTTTAATATCGTATAAAACTACATATCAAAGTATATTGTATATCGAAGGCAAGCAAAATCTGTCGAATACCCAATTGAAATCCCTATCACTGATTATTGCGTACTAAGAAATATGATTGACCCAAAATATGTGTCTGTCGAGGATCTTTCAATAAAGCATATTATCACAGAAGACACGGTGATGCCGCCACTGGTGATTTGCCAGCTTGCATTGCCAGAAAAAATGTGATTTTGAAATATAATCACCCGGATCCCAAAAATCCTGGGTTTTTTCGCGATTATAAATGTATATAGCTATTTCTAATGCGTGTGTGAAGATATCTAAATTAAGATTTATGACAGCAATTAGATTCTATACATATATCTACTAAGCAACTATCTGGGATGTAAATATAATAAAACTATAACGGAAATATCTCATATTTGTTTTTATGCAAATATACTATACAGATTCCAATACGTATAATAAGTTCTATATACAATTACTTATAGCTCTGGTTCGGAACTGTTTTGACGCACTTCTTTTTCTCCTATTATAAACTATTTGGCACGACCAAACAACTTTCACATTCATAACCATGCATTTCGCGATCCATTTTTGGCAAAAACAACGAATTATTGCGTTATAGCATCGTGTGCAAGCTTCCTGTTATTTTTCATCAACTTTCATCCTATTTACCTATTACATATATTGTAGTGGATGCATACGTGTATACAGTAGCTATATAACATTTACATTATAGCATATACACGTATACTACACTACGCAATATTTTCAACAAGGTGCATTTAACCAATTTTCGCCAGTGCATGCGTGTCGAAGTTTGAAAATGGGTTGGTAAAAAATCGACATGATATATATAAACTCGCCATTTTTCTGCCATATCGCCTTTTTGGACTGTAGTTATGTATATGCTTTCATTTTGAGAGCACATGCACGACTACACATGCAGTCAGATAATAATTAATATAGTGTTATGCTGTATAACCAGATTAATGAGATTATTCTAATCCGTACTTAAAATATACGCAAAAATTTAGATGTCATTGAAAAGATTTGATCTCTGTCGGAAAAATTTTAGCTCCATGTCAATAGCTATTCTTATTTAACTAAAATTATTGGTGGTCACAAATATCTCTAAAAATTTCATCAGGAAATACTTTATTTCCTTCCATACTTTAGAGCATCTGCTCAAACATTAACAGTAGAATAGAATGTTATCTGCATACGCTATCTGCGCTACTATATACCCTGCATGAAAAAGAAGTTTTTGTTAGTTCAATAATATAGGAAGGCCCGGCGTTCCGTAATCCGAAGGTCAAGATTTTCGCCCTGAAAAGCAACTTAATACTCCATCCCGGCGCCAATTAAGGTGAACAAAATTTTTAACTAAAGCATATAGCAATAGCATACTGCTCATATAGAAACAGCGGTTCGAAAGTCTCAAAAATGCGCACAACCTTTTTGCAAAGCATATAGCAGTGCAGTCGCCCATATAGAAACGACAATCCGAAACGCACGCACGGGGGAGTTTATACTCACCATCATAACAAAAAATCAATCCACATCATCTTCGAGACATCTAATTGTGACACAATTTGTGCCCCCTGCCTACGATAACCCAAGCAAGACTTCTCCAGAAATATTATGTGTTGATGCATAAAATGTATCTACTGACTCTCGTGTCTGGAGAAATCTTATTTGCTTGTCCTGCCTGTCTCAGCTTAGCAATTAATAAGGTTGCATCTGCACACAAATTACTTGGGAATTTGCATACAATTTTTGGTAAAGAAACATTTTTGGTGGTTTGAGTGCAGATGCACCTATTTATGTTATCTCAGTTTTGTGACCACCCAATTAAAGTTCTCAAACCTCTTTGAACCTCTGGCAAACGATGTCCGATTTTACGATGTTCGACTGAACCAAAGTGATCTTGACCAAACAGCAACTTTCTTTTGTCATATAGTCTACAAAAATTTCATATAAGCCTTAGAGTGTACAAGTGTTATATATATGTTCTATTTTACGTCATTACGTTATAGTAATACACTGTATTGCAGTTGGCACTTAACATATAAATATATATGCACACAAGGCAAAAAAAATAAAGTTTTGATCGAGCCAACAGTAATACGAGATCTGATGATTCATGATTTCATCGATAGAGCCTGATTTCAATGCTTGACGGGAATTATTTCCAAGCGTGACTCATAAAGTATTTTTAATTAAACATGCCTTATATCCAACACTACAGTCTAGAAATTAAATTAATAAATATTCAATATGTGTTCATACCTTTATATGCACGTGTTAAAACACCTCGACGTATCCATAGATATCAATATCCAGCAAATATTTGGGATAGCGGGGCTTTGCGAAATTAGTGTTAAAGATCTTTAGCCGCGCGCTTATATGAACTTGATTGGCGCCATTTCATATTTGTTCATTTCGCCGCTCTATACCTGGCAGCAGGCTTCAAAGTGCAAATTTGCAATGACCATACATGCCAAATGCATGATTACAATTTAATAACCGGAATGCAATTTCCTTATAAAGAGAACCCAAATCAAAATTAGTGAATATTTTCCTATTGTCCCAGGAGCTGTTAAGTATAAATTCCAATGTTCATTTTCTGATGAATTAATAACGACACTATATAAAGCAAAATATCGAGGAGATCAAACTTAGATGTTTGTAAGACCTATGATAATAGAACGAATTGAGTTTCTTTTAGATATAAAATATCGTCAAATATTGTATTAGGCTTATACGCTGCAGCATGTCAACTGCCAATCTAACCCATTGGGCTTGTGCCAGTTGTGCGCAAGGACTGCACACACTTGGAAAAAACATAGCGCTAAAACTCAACCTCGTAAAACGCGCAATTTGTAGACCGTGTCTTTCATTGCTTATGCTATAGTTTAATATCCACACAGCTTATATATAGTTAAATGGTATAATATCGATTATAATTTCTGGCTTGTTATATTTGTCACATGGTCCTGATTATTTTGAACAGATAGTATGGCTTGTGTTTTGTGCCTATCAAATTTTTACGCTAAATTTCAGTGAACAATATTACGATGTTCATTGGGCGCCTTTCTTGTGGCTCTATTTTTTTCATCACTTTCATACAATCTCTATCATTTGTACAATTTGAGCTTTTCCGCGTTCCACGTTTCCGATTCGAGGAGCTAGTCGAGGGAAATCAAATTATAACCAAACATAAGATGCCTGATTATAAATGTGCTTCAGTGCTTGGTGCATCTGACTTTGCCGAAAGTTGCAAAATGTTTTATTCTGATCGCCCTAGGTTGTTGATACAATTATTGCGATGTAGTCTAATAGTTATTTAGATTTATTTCATTACTTACACAACTATATATAAGGGTTTTAATCATTGCATACTTAATAGTAATACTATATACAGTTATCCGGTTTTGCTCATACTATCAGGTTGTTTCGTATCTATCCCAATGACTATTTAAACGACTTCCAACAACCACACAACAACAATGCAATTCTACGTAATGCTGTTTTAATGCATATATGGCTAGCGACGTTGCATGTTTGTGCGCGCGTTGAACCAAAGCTTTATGGAAACAACAAAAGTATTAAAGCATAGATTCTAACCATTGCATTACCGCGGCATTCAAAAAACAATAAATTTTTGAAAGAAAGCTTTTTCAGTTTATGACTTGAAATTTGACCTTAATGACATATTTGCATGCACTGCATGAACGCTAAGAGAATTCTTGAAGCGCACGAAATAGCATTCGATTCGGCTAAAATGATATAACCCCTTTACTTAAGGCTTAAGCCTTCTGTTAAGGAACTGAATACGTTTCTAGGAGTATTATGTGTTACACATTCGTCACTTCTTCTATAAAGTTGTAACATTGCAAATGTTTAATCTAATGTTCTACCAAATCCAATGCGATTAAACAAAATTCCGGCAAACGCTCCAACGAACGGTAAATCAAAACGGTTGAACCATTACCAGAAATTTGAGACATTTTGCGTCCGCGTTCGTGGGCAGCGTCCGCTTCTTGACCTAAGGAATTGGTGAAAATTTTATAAAATGGCTCGATGGTATAATTATGCAATTATAATTATGCTTCAAATATATATGGCCGGATGCTTAACACACTGAAAAATCATGAAATTTCAAACGCTGTGGGAACCGTGGCGGTAAAAAATACGAAGATATTTATGAGTTATATCGGTAGCTATATCACAACCAAGACATTCCAACTCCGAACTTTGCATCGTCCAAAAGGAAAGTGGTGTATTTGACCAGATTGTAGAGCATGTTTACCGATATTACTATGGTTTATATAGCCGAATCATTCAAATTGGACTTGTATATAAATCGCACTCAGGAACCTAGAGGATTTGCTAGTGAGTGAATATTTTTTGTTATAACTCTTCCTTTCTGAGCGATTTACAGAATTCGAACTCCGAACCAAGAAAAAAACACACATAGAAAGCGTAATTTAAAGTTTTGTGATTAAGCCATATTGTTTCGCATGAAATTTGGCCGCCATGTTTGTTTTTATCCCAATGCAAGACGCCATCTTGTCCCAAATTTCTGGTAATGCGCTTTTGGAACCATTTTCGAACTTTTTTCTCGAGGCGTTCGAACGGGCAATTTCGAACGATGAACGATCTCGATAATCGTGTCAACGAACGCAGAACGCTTGAAGTGTTTGAACGGCAAACGAACGGATAATGAACGATATGAAGGTCACACATCAACAACAAAGTAAATTGCTTCGCACGAGTGGCAAATCACAACTGTATGACTATGAGTGTTACTGGTCTGCTTGCTTCTACTACCTATAATTAAGGTAGGTACATATGACATTGATCGAGTATTTATGTCCAGCTGTCAACGGAGCGTAATTAGCCCTAAAGCTGTTGGACGGCATGTATCATGATATATGTCTGCAGTCATGATTGTGGCCATGTCCTTCAGGTATATTTGGCTATTGTTTTTACAATTTTACTCCATTTTATGATTTTAATATTATCCATGCTGTACTGGGATTACGTAGCAATAAAGAGCAGTGTGCGGATAGCGATCGAAGCTCAGGCTCCCTCATAGCTGAACATAAACAACGTATAATGTTACATCCGCTGCTTGCGTTTACCTGTTAATCATGTTCCCCGGTATATCAAACATGCACATGCAACAGGCAGTTGACCGCATATTTTACCGTTGTTTGATTTAAACACCAGTATCATGGTCTAGGATCAAAGGATTCCTCAAATCGTCTGGTTTCTTCCGTGAAATTGGGTATATAAATTCGTCAAACCGTTTATACGGATGAGTCGGCCCATCCAAAAAAACGGTTCATTTTTTGGATGGGCCGAGGAAGAGGAAGAAAAAAATTTGGAAGACAGTCAAAAGCAGTATAAATAATAAATGCCGCTCATCCTCCTATCAAGAAAAATTACTGAACAATAAACAATGAAGTTCGGTGTGAAAAGCATAGGACATATTTTTAATTCTACATTATATATAAATAAGAAATTTGTGGTTCAAATAAGAACAATTGTGGTTCACAAACTAATTAAAGTGTTATTAACAGTTAAACAGATTATGATTTTTGGCACCTCACTCGACATTCTCAAAGCCCACTCAAACTTAAAAGTTAAACCAATTAAGTGGGATATCTCAATCTCCTGAAAACGTTTCTATGGCCGCCGTATTCCCTCGATTCGAAAAAGCTTGATCTTCAGTGTTTTACTTCAAATGTTGCCATTGTTTAAGGGAACTGTCTCGTTGATCTGTATTAAGAGCATTTGTAAGTCACACGCAATGAGTTATGAGTGCGAATGTGAATATAAGCATTTTAAATATAGGAGATATAATCTCACTTAGCTAAAAAATGTCATGAAGTCGACTTTGAAAGCTGAGAAGTTTATATGCATGACAAAAAGTTCGCAAAACATACTTTTCTTTGTTAAGCTAAAACATCCACTGTGTTAAGGAATATGCAAGGAAATGCAATATCAACACCCTTCTAAAGTAATCTCATCTTAGAAACTCGAAGCAACTTTGCTTTGTAGGAAAAAGTATCCAAACAACGGATTTCATAGATATAGGAAGCCTTTATCCGTAAGAATAGTGCTGGCTACATTACTAAGAATAAATATATAGTCAATATTTCGAAAATCTCCTTGTATACTGCTCGACAGATCTACCGTGAAAACAAATGTCCGAGTATCACGATGAAATTCCAGCATGAATGCATATATGAAGCATTTCATACGACGCCAGCAGATATACTATATATGTCTGTAACATTCCCAAGGCTGCTTACACCGCATTGTGTTAGCGCATATTTGAATGCGCTAAATTAGAACATACAGATTTATTCAACGTGGCCAGGTTTTATAGTATAACATAAACAACAAAGCAAATTGTTTCGCACGAGTTGCAAACACCGAAGAGTGTTGCTTGTCTGTTCGCATTCCTAATTAACTTCGGCAACTAGATACATGACATTGATCGAATATTTATGCCTGTCAATAATGGAGCGTGATTAGCCCTAAAGCTGTTGGACGGTATCATATCACCTATGTCTACAGTGCATGGCATGTAGCCAAGTGCAGATATTTTGGTATTCATTTTACAACTTTACCCAATTTTCTTATTTTTATCGATGCTGTACTGCGATTACATAGCAATAAAGAGCGGTGTGCCGCGTGTGCGCATAACGATCGAAGCTCTGGCTCCCTCATAGCTGATTATCGAGCATAAACATCGTAGTTTAATTTACATCCGCTGCTTGCGTTTTACTGTTAATCATGTTCCCCGGTAAATAAAACATGCACAACAGACAGTTGACATATTTTACCGATGTTTGATTTAAAACGGCCAGTATTATTACATGGGACCAGAGGATACCCAAGAATCGTCGGGTTTCATCCGTGAAAACGGGTATATAAATTTCTCTATCCGTTTACACGGATGAATCGGCCCATCCAAAAAAACGGTTGATTTTTCTTTCCGTTTAAACGGTTATTCGTATCCGTGCAAACGCTTTCTCCAAAGCGTAAAAACGTTTTCTTGAAAGCGTTAAATTTTTTCATCGAACCGTTTTAACGTTTTAACGAGGCGTGAAAACGTTTCACGGCATCCGTTTGCTAACCGTTTTGAATCCGTTTTTTTGCCCATTTAAACGGAAAAGCGTTAATGTTGGTTTTCCCGTGGAGGGTCACCTATTGTTTTTAATTTACATTAACGATTTGCCTAATTATTGTCTGGAAAGAGCCTCTCCGAGAATGTTTGCTGATGATACTAATATAAGTATTGCGGCAAAATCTGTAACAGAGCTTGAATCAATAATTAACTCTGAATTGAAAAATCTTCATCAATGGCTCATAGCTAACAAACTGAGTCTAAATGTCGCTAAAACGGAATTTATGATAATTGGATCTCGTCAACGGTTAATGATACACAATAATGAACAAATAAACATTGAAATTGACGGGAAGATAATCAAGAGAGTTAAGGATACGAAATCATTAGGATTACAAATTGATGAGCACCTAGTATGGGCGCGACACGTTGAAGGCATTTCCAAAAAGGTTGCGTCGGCAATTGGTGCTCTTAAAAGGATACGCCAGTTCATAGATACAAGCACTGCCCTCAAAATTTACGGAGCTTTGATTCAACCGTATTTTGATTATTGTAGCTCAGTTTGGGATGGTTTAAATATCACGTTAAATGATAAATTGCAAAAACTGAAAAATAGAGCAGCGAGGGTGATTACCAAATCTGGATACGATGCAAGTTCCAGCGACCTTTTCACTAAACTAGGTTGGGATAATCTTTCGACACGCCGGAAAAAACACAAGGCTGTAATAATGTTCAAAATTCTTAACGATTTAACACCGGATTATCTCCGTAATTTATTTGAATTCCACAGCACAGGATACAATTTGAGAAACTCTGAAAATGCTTTATTTGTACCAAAACCGCGAACAAATTATGCTAAACGAAGTTTTAGTTATCGTGGCGCGGTGTTGTGGAATGAGTTACCTCAAAATGTACGAGCATTATGCTCTCTTAACCAATTTAAAAGGGAGATTGACAACATTTTTCCCTATAAAACAGACTCTCGCACGGCAATCTTGTAAATCAGTTTATATATCTGTATTTTAAATTGTATTGTATTGTGTTGTATTTAGTAATTTTGTCCCTAAATGTCTAATGAATGTATATAATTATAGCCCACTTTTTATACTGTAGATTTTACCGTTTTTAAATAAAGTTTTGATTGATTGATTGATTGATTCTCATCCTGAGTCGAATCGCCTTTTCAGATCTCGCAGATATGTCCATCTGATTTTCGACTGCAATTTGTATCGTTCCATCGATACGGGGTAACCCAAATCTCGTCTCTCTTGAGTCGAGGGAATGTGCGTTGTTCTAAACCAGGCAAATTCAGAGTCCAAAAAGTCGTCAGGCTTAAAATGTTTGTTGCAAACATGGCTTTGACGTGATAGCTTCCATCCAGAGCGCTTAACGAAGTCTACCCTTACGAAAAAAACACATGCAAAAACCATATGTGTTTCCCATGTGATTCACATGTAGATACGTGTGATCACATGTGGTTCACATGTGATCATATGTGATTCACATGTGAATATACGTCGTTATTTGGAGTCTACATGTGAACCACATGTGATGCGCATGTGGTTACATGGATACACATGTGAACCACATGTGATGCGTATGTGGTCACATGGGATACACATGTGAACCACATGTGATGCGTTTGTAGATACATGGGGAATATCTGTCAACACATATGGTTCATATGTGATCACAAGTGCTTCACATGTGAAAATATACTAAGGTATATATGCGGTTCACATGTAAATAATATCATGGATAGTTAAAATACTTCAATTATAGTGATTTTATTAACCAATAATATTGATTTTATTATCCATGGCAATATGTATGTAGGACGTATTTGTTAATCGACATCATAGACAATCCAGAAGATGTCTTGTGGATTCATTGGATTGTCTATATACGCCGACATATAAGGTTATTTACAGTATATCAAAATTCTGCTGCTTTTTAAATGCTATAGTTTAAAATAAAACAATAAGATAACTCAGCCTCGACTGCCTCGTTGGCTATGAGCGAATAGTAAACTCCGCCTCGTTGTAATAATACATTCGTCCAAATATTTATAAATCTGAGGCCAATCTCCGACCGGTCCAGGTGATCTGAAATGGCGGGAAAGGACTAGGACTAGTTGTCATATAAAAATCCATTTCTCGGTTGAAACAACTTAATATCTCGTGAAATATACTCAATTTAGGTTCCAAATTTATATCAGAGCTATAGTTCTTATAACTAAACATAATCACAAAATTTCGAATGGTTCCATCAAGAATAACAAAACATATAATCGATTAAACACTGCAAGATATATTTCTATTTTCACAAACTTTCTGAGCGCTGATTGGCTGAAATATGAGCGCGAGATCACCTGGGTGTAATAACCCAACAACCGACAAGTGTGACGCCACATTAGGCGAAAACCCTGGGAACGAGGTCGCGCATTCGTTTCAAAATTCAAATTTTTTACAACGACATTCTTGGCGGTTCGACGAGGAGATTGCAATTTTATTTGAAAAAAAGACATAAAATACGATTCGGAATGAAATAGGTGCTGGTTCACTGGAATAAGTCAAATAAGACAAGCATCTTAAAGAAATAAGATATTATTTAAAGACAAAAGTATGCATGCTAAAACATCCCGAGAAGGATCGCATGGTTTTGTTTGGATACTCAAGAATGAATTACCCAAAGACGGCA